TTGCTTGTGTCATGGCTCTAGAAGCTGCATTGCTTCCATGCCTACCTGCCAGAGAACTCAAGGCAATTGACCGTTCTGCTCATCCTTATCACCAGATTGATGTTGTGAGGCATATGGGCGCAGGGAAAAAACTTCAAATCTTTTTTATTGGATTGCAACGTCAGGATCAGCCAAGCAGAGCAAGTTGTCTCATAAAGGAGATCGCGACCATGGAAGAAGTTGAAAACGAAAAAGGGAGATAATAAGTAAGCAAGAGAGACTTATACAAGAATGGAGGGAGCAATTGGGCAACTAATTGAATAAACACATCAATGAGTTGGAAAGGGTTTGAGAAGATGGGCTGATTATATGCTTATGTTAATTGACACCAAATGCTTTTGAAAATAAGGCTAGGTTGTTGTTGTTTGGTTTCTATTATGCATTCGAGTCCTATGTCAATAATTTCTATAGCACAATTTTATTGATCTGTTATGGATAGTGAGCTACAAAAGTGTTTAAAAAAAGAAAAAGCTGCAAAGAAGATTGGGAATTATATAAGAAAATTAGTAAAAGTTGAAGAAAGTCAATTTGAAGATTCCTGGAGGCCGTATATGAGATTAAGAATTTGAGAAGCTCTTATGTTCTCAAATATGAGAAGCTCAAATATGGTTGATCTCAAATATGAGAAGCTCTTATGTTCTGTGGCTTCGAGCAGGGGGTGGCAGAGGTAGAATCATGGGGGGGAACAAGTGGTTAGTTCGGGATGTAGCACAAGCCGGTAGAGGGAAGCACAAGGGGGAGGTGCCTACCGCAGAAGACATGGTTGGCAGAACTCAGAAGTGGAATTCAACTATGGTCCTTCTGGAAGGGGAGTCTTCTAAGATCTTGGATGAGGGGACAACTGCTAACCGAGTGGGGGGGTCGAAGAGAAAGCATGTATTCGAGAATCATTAACAGGACAATCAGGTTGCTGGGGCTATGGCTGTGGATGAGCCAAAAAATGTTGAAGGGGCGGGCCTAGATTTCTAAGCTCGCGTAGCATCTCTTTTAAAATTTACTTTTTTAAGTTCTCTATTTCTACTTTCTGTTTTTTGTTCAAGGATTCTAGCTGGTGTTTTTGCTAGGTGACTTTTGCCAAGATAGACTTGTCTGTGGTTTTTATTTTTGTTGCAGGTCAAATTCATGATTTTTGCCAAGGATTCTAGATCGATCATGGTTGGCTTACTTGCCCGTGTGGGGATTAGCGAGTCACGTTGCTCCTTCGAAGCTGGTGGACTCTAAGATTGGTCGAGCTATGTTTTCTAGTCATGCTGGCTTGTCTCTATTCTCTGATCTTGATGTTACGTGGTTGGATCTGATATTATAAGGTTTAAATATGATTTTAGTCCCTGCAAATATGGTACATTTTGTTTAGATCCCTGATTTTTATTTTGTTTTTCATCCCTGTAATATGCTCTATTTTGGCTTTAGTCTACTAACTCTGAAACAACTCTACTTGGAATTTTTTTTATTGTGAGTTGCATAAATCTACTAGAAACATTTAAATTTATCATTTTATAATTTTTTTGAGGCTAATATGAGAGTTAAAACAATATAAAACTAATTATTCACATTTTTAAGATATGTATTAAAAATCTTCTAAAAATAAATTAAATACTTTTTAAATGACATAACAAAGAATTAGAGGAAACCCATTAGACGGGGTTGTTTCGTTGTCAAACGGAGACTGTTATCATTAGTCATAGACTAAAAAGAAAACCAACATAAATTTCAGGTATGAAAAACAAATAAAATATTTTGCAGGGACCTAAAACAAAGTGTGTCATATTTGCAGGGACTAAAAACATATTTAAACCCTATGAAATAAGCTGTTTCCTTTAAAAAAAATTATTTAAATAAAATGTAAAGGGAAATAAAAATCGAAAAAGAAATAATAAAGGCAAAAAGCATTGTAAATTAACACTGAAATTTGTCTCACTAATTAAGACTGGTGACATGAAAACGTCTAGCACCTTTTTAACCACTAGAAAAAAGATTCACCTCTCACATAAGATAAGTTTATAACCGATTATTCCCTCCGTCCCATTACAAGGTTCCCACTTTCCTTTTTTGGACGTCCCGTTAGAAGGTTCTTATTTCCATTTTAGGAAACAATTAACAATCTTAAGTAACAATTTAATCATTAAATATTAAAAATAATACATTTATAACATCACAGTTATCAATACTAACTACATTATAATATATACCTATTAAAATTATTTCTCAAAATATACTCGAAGTACTTTATTTAATTATTGTCTAAATAACCGTGCCATTTTGATACGGGAACCTTCCAACCGGACGGAGGGAGTATCATTTATAATATCACATAAAATATTCAAAGAAAACAAAATGAGTCAGCGGTATAAATGTTGAAAAATTCAGAATTTTATTTAAATGAATAATGTAAAATATGTATATTGTACCATAGTTAACTGAAATTGATACAAATGCAATGTGCTATTGTTATCGCCAAACATGTAGAGTACAAAATAAAACAAATACAATTATGTTCTATTAGCTAACTTTGTCATAATGAATGTATGAAAATGTGTAAAAGTTAAAATCGTATATGTTAAACATGTATTTTTCATATCTAAGTTATTTATATACGAAATATATCCTAAAGATGAAGAGTGAAGACAAAATACTACCTCCGTCCTGAAAATGTTCGCCATATTGACTTTTCTTGGTCAATGATGGCAAACTTTGGACAATAAATTTAATTATTATATTTGTATACTCCCTCCGTCCCAAAAAATTCTTCTCACTTACCATTTCGGGATGTCCAAAAAAATTCTTCCCATTTTCCTTTTTGGAAAGTTTTGTGTGACTCATTCATTTAACTTTTTCTTACTCAACTACAACCATACATTTCCACTTTATTCCCACTTTCTTAATAAGCGTGCCAAGTCAAAATGGGAAGTATTTTTTGGGACGGAGATGGTATAATTTATAAATTTTGTACTTTTATGAAAATGTTTTGAATAAGGAACATTTTGATATAATTTTCATATTCAAAATAACTTTGTATTAAAAAATATCATCAATCAAAGTTGATTGCCATTGACCAAGAAAAATCAATTCGGCGAACCTTTTCGGGACAGAGGGAGTAAAAAGTACTTTTATAAATATTAGAAGTTATGCGATTCAGTTTACGGTTTATCGGATTAAACCAACCCAAACCAAATCATTTGGGTTGAGCAAATTGTTACCAAACAATTCACTTAAGTGAACCTTAACCAAACCAAAGTGCTAATTTTCAGTTTGGTTCAGTTCGGTTCAGTTAAACCAAACCGTTTTGCCTAGCCCTATAAAAAAATGGACTCTTAAATAAATTGGCTGATTGTTGTATCTAAAAGGTTCACGGTGATGATAACTTGTCATTTTAAACGGTAGTTATTTATTGTTATCATATATATCATCAAGTTGTAACTTTGCCTCTTTTTTCAAGTTGTCAGCATTAACTAATAGTCGTACTATTAATGATTGATACATTCACGTACAACGCACGGGTGGAATAATAAGTGTGTCATCATCTCTCATCTCTCCTCATCTTTTATCCATTAGAAGCTCCTTGATAATAAGTGTGTTATCATCTCTTTTTTCCATTAGAAGCTCAACCATATCACCCTCTCCTCTCTCCTCATCTTTTATAAGTGTGTCATCATCGCCCTCGCCCTCCACCAGTGCAAATTACCCGTGTTACCACTACCAATGAAGCTACAAATGTTATGCCCCTTGATTCCCCTACTATAAGTCCCATTTCCACGTAGTCAGGTACCCCAAAGTCAAATGCCACTCCCGATGATACGCGCATTGCCCTCCGGAAAGGTATGCGTTTTATTTTGAATCCGAATTCCATATATAATTGTCTAAGCTATCATCGTCTCTCCAACCTTTACTATGCATTTATTTCATACCTATCTGATGTGCATATTCCTAAAAACACCTATCCAAAGTGACGTCGCACCATGTTGACTGAGTTGGAGGCTCTACATTTTAGTGGGACATGGGAAAAAGCCCCCCTTCCTCTTGAAAATCAATTATTGGGTGTTGGTGGATTTATATTGTTAAGGTTGGACTTGACGGAAAAGTTGATTGTCTTACACCATGTCTGGTAGTGAAGGGGTATACTCATATTTATGGATTGGATTATACTAATACATATTCTCTTGCAGCTAAAATTGCATTTACTCGCTTACTTTTTTCTATGGCAACCATGAGTTGCTGGCTATTGCAAGAACTGGATACAAAAAATGTTTTTCTACATGGTAGTCTTGAGGAGGAAGTTTACGTGGAGCAACCACTGGGTTTAGATACTCAAGGAGAGTCTGGTTTTGTGTGCAAGCTACGTGAGTCCTTGTATAGTCCTGAAACAATCTCCGAGTGCATGACTTAAAAGGTTCAGTGATGTCATTCCTAGATTTGACATGATCTGAAGTGATGTTGATCACTTCGATTTCTATAGACATTCAACATGAAACAGGTGCATTTATCGGGTTGTATATGTTGATGACATTGTCATTATAGGTAATGATAAATAGGGAATCACTAAATTCAAGGAATATCTCTTTAGCAAATTCCAAATAAAATATTTGGTGAAGCTAAGATACTTTCTTGGTATTGAGGTTGTACAGTTTCATAACGGTATTGTTCGTTTCCAAAGGAAGTATGAATTGGATATTCTTGAGGAAACAACTATGTTGGAGTGTAGACCTGTAGATACACCGATGGATCCAAATGTAAAACTCTTGGTAACATAAAACTCTTCCAAACGGGTTGGATTCAATTTGTCAATTTTTAATTTTTAATTTATAACATGTAACCTGTTAAATATCAGACACTTACTAAACTTTGAATTGGCTTATCTACAGCCCCATAGGAGAACATCAAAGAGGTTACAAAACCCTATAACATCTAAAATTCATTAAACAGAAGCAAGATGGGAGGGGAGGGGTTCAAAAGATAGAACAAACCTGGACAAGTTGACTCTCATCTAGAGCAGATAAGCTAACAAAAATTGGGAACCGTCCAACAAATTCTGGTATGAGTCCATATGCAGTGAGATCATTACTTTCTACCTGAAGTTAGTAAAACATTAAGGATAAACCTCCATATATCTCATTTTCATAACCTCTATTTTAAAAGACCTTAGACATCAAGACAAATATACTCACAGATTCCAGCAGTGATGAGCCAATGACAACATATGTAGGGGCAGCAGGATCCATCTTAATATGAACTGGAGCTCCAAACCCAATCGAAGAGTCTTGTCGTCTGAGAAAAAGAACAAAACGACACACATGTAATGTATTTCTGCATTTAATATATTCATTTATAACTGGTGAAGACTCAAGATATATTAGATTAAAAAGGACATTACCTCTCTGAAATTGCCTTCTCCAGCCCGATGAAGGCTCCACCACAAATAAAAAGGATATTTTTTGTATCTATCTGTCATAACAATCACTAAAGATCAATAGGTTTGTTGAAATAGAGCATATAAACTTAAGAAATAATATTGGAGAAGAAATGATTTTCCGTTTCTTTATTGAAGGGTTGAAGTCCCTATAAATATATCTTAACAGATAGAATATTCGTATAAGATTCTATAACATAATGATAGGACCCCGGCTATTATAAATAATAAGAATAGATATGGTTTAGTCTATTCTAGAAAGAAGAAGTAGTTATCTGTTTTGGCAGGCGGATAGTTGTTATGAACTATTAACTACTTATAGTTAAGGAGTGGGGACTATAAATAGAATAAACCAGTTAGAAGTTAGGCAGGCTGTTAGATGCTTGGCTTGGGACTGGGAAGTTAGAGTCTTATCTCTAGCTTTGGGACTATTGTATTGTATACCGCCATTAATGAAGTTTGTGGATTGTTTCCAGTTCGTATTGTATATTGTGGATTGCGAACTGTTCTTATCACATAATAATATCCTAGAGTATATTCCTAAATATTTCAAAGCATATGCTTACATCCATTCTAATATATTTCACATTCCCCTCAAGTTGGAGCATAGATATTTATCATGTCCAACTTGTTACATAAATAATCAACTTGAATCCCATTTGGAGCAAAGATGACGCCTTTTAGCGAAGCCATTGCGTTGAGGTGTGTGGAGAGAGACCAAATGAGAGATCACTAGCCATTGGAGATGTGTGCCAAGTGAAATATATTCACCACCACCATCTGAATGAATGACTTGATTTTTTCTATTGAAGTACCATTCAACAATTATTTGAAATTGTTGAAAGGTAGGAAGCACATCAGGCTTACATTTCAAGGGATACAACTAGTTATATTTAGTGTAATCATCAACAAAAATCACATAATAATGAAAACCATCACACGAAACAATATTTTGAAGGTCTCCTAGACAAAGAGGAGGTAGAAAAAGGCAGTTTGTGACTTATTACAAACAAGCACATGATGTGCAAATAGAGTTTGCCATGTTTACTTGTAGCTAATATTGTGAATAGCATATGGTTGCAGTGTGTCCAAGCTTCTCGCAAATTTGGCACTCATGACTCAACACTCAACAGAACCCCTATTAGATTTGTGGTTGTTTCTACGCCCTTTCACTCTATAATAGCCAGAGTTATTACTTTTTGTTGGATTATTACCTTGAGCAGTGCTAGGCCCAAAGGGAGTGTTATTAGATGGAACAATTGATGGGTTTGGGCCCAAGAGAGAGGGTTGATAGCCACGGAGCCCATATCTATGGACGGGAAAGGGCTGCAAATAGGCAGCAGTTGGTACCCATTGAGGCAACACCATGGACTGCCATGAGCAAAATTGGTGATACTCTCTCTGATTGGAGGTGGAGTAGACCAGGACGCTACACGATGACGAAGGGCGTGATTCGCGGTGACCGGACCAAGGGTCGATTGCTGATAGTCTCACTTTTTGCACTTTTTGCAGGATACTAGAAGTTCATGAAGTTCTTCAAAAGTCCATTTATCTCAGCTACCACGCAGAACTGAAGTTGTTTGAAGAAACCTCCTGGCCATGTTTGCTCAATTCATTGGACAGAGAATTGAGATGATGCAAAAACTCTGACATCAATTGCTCTTGTTTCTTTCGAGCATGATGGAGCTGTTCAGTGAAGTTGAGAAGTCGGGTTGGAGAAGAATTGGCATAGATGTTCTCTAAGGTGACCCAAATGTAACAGTAGGTTAGGGCAGTAGAAATAAAGGAGAGAACCGCCGGACTAAACGACGTAATCATCGCCTGATGTAGAAGACCAACCAGGCATGGTGGGATCGGTAGCGGAAAGATCAATTGATACATCAACAAAATAAAATTTCAGTGGAAAATTAGCCACAGCAGGGAGGAAGGGACTGTCCTTGAGAGAGTCAAGGAAGTAGGAGAGGCAATGTTCTTGTCTTTGTTTTCATAGTTGGCCCTAGAAGATAGAGACTGGTTAAAGTTCATATAAGATCCGATACATTGTGTGAAAATAGATAATATTATTGATTGTCAGAATGATTACATACATACAATTTTTGATAAGATAACTAATAATTAAAAAAATACATAACTAAAGATGATAGCTGTATAATCTAATTGATGTGCAGAATAATTGGTAACAAGGAAAGATTCACTTTCCCTCTACAAATGTGCATAACAAGGAAAGATTCACTTTCCTACCTCAATAATGTCACCACGTGAATGCTTCCCCGCTCTATTATCAGGCACATTCACAATCTGATACACAATAAGTTTTTTAAATCAATCAATAGAAAACTTAGAAATAAATACACAGGCTAACCAAGAACGTACTTATTTAGCATACTTCATACCTTAAGTTTCAAAAATTAAGGAAGTCTCTCGTAGAAACTAGGGAAATGCTTCTTCAAGGTGGTTAAAGCTATGAGATACTCTAAATGAATGAATAAGATAAGTTCACAGAACATACCGTTCCTTCTAGCATTTTAAGCAGACTTTGTTGAACACCTTCTCCACTCACATCTCTACCACTGTTTAAGCTCTCAGCCTATATTTAATATTTGAAATATGAAATGTACTGATGAAAAAACATTACTCAATTACTCGATTCATAATCATATAAAGCTAAGTATGTGGAGTGATTATCAAATAATAGCTTGGATGTAGTAATATTCACCAACCTTTTTGGTTATCTTATCAACCTCATCAATATATACTATTCCACGCTCAGCTGCTTCTAAATCAAAGTCAGCAGCCTAACAGAGCAAACAACAGCACAAACATTAGCTACAAATGTAAGATGTAAGTTTTAAGAATAAAACTTCCTTGATTGAATTAGCCATTCGGCGAGAGTATAAATACAGTTTGTACAGATAACTACAAGCTGGTACAGATCCTAAAAATTAGGATCTAGATAACTATGAGCTTATCTACAACTAAGTCTATCCGACTCACTATGTACATCAATCTAATCAGAAAAAATAATGTAACATTTTTCTAATAATGTAACATTTTTCTAATAATGTAACATTTTTCTACACTCCCCCCCTCAAGTTGGTGAATATATATCATACATTCCCAACTTGCTTATAAGTAGCTCAAATATAGGTCTAAATAACCCTTTGGTGAAGATATCAGTTGTTTGATCTTTAGTGGATACAAAATGGTGTGCAAATGATTCCAGCTTCAATCTTCTCCTTAATGAAATGTCTGTCCACTTCAATATGCTTAGTTCTATCATGTAGCACAGGGTTATGAGCAATGCTTATAGCAGCTTTATTATCACAATATAACTTCATAGGCAGCTCAATCTCCATCTTTAGTTCTGTGATTACTTGTTTGATCAGAGTAACTCACATATTCCATTGGCCATAGCTCTGAATTCTGATTCTGCACTACTTCTAGCAACCACATTTTGTTTTTTACTTCTCCAGGTTACTAGATTTCCCCATACATAGGTGCAGTATCCAGAAGTAGATCTCCTATCAGATATTGAGTCAGCATAATCTGCATCAGTGAAAGCTTCAATTGTCCTATTGTTTCCCTTTTTGAAAAACAATCCTTTCCCTGGACAGCTCTTCAGGTATCTCAGAATCCTGTAAGTAGCATCAAGATGTTCTTGGAGAGGATGATGCATAAACTGACTCACCATGCTTACTGCAAATGCAATATCTGGTCTTGTGTGTGCCAGATATATTAATTTTCCTACCAATCTTTGATATTGGTGAATATCAACTGGATTTCCCTCCTTGATATCTCCCAATTTCTGACTTGGGTCAATTGGAGTGTCTGCTGGTTTGCAGGCACTCATTCCAGTTTCCTGTAGAAGATCTAGAACATATTTCCTTTGTGAGACAACAATACCCTTCTTTGATCTAGCTATCTCCATTCCTAGGAAAAAATTTAAATTTCCTAGGTCTTTAATCTCAAATTCATGAGCAAGTTTGTCTTTCAATCTTTTAGTCTCTGTGTGATAATTTCCTGTGAGGATAATATCATCTACATAGACAATTAAGATTGCAATCTCCCCCTTACCTGAAAACTTCATGAATAAAGTATGGTCAGCTTGAGCTTGATTAAATCCTTGCTTCTTTATGAACTTTGTGAATCTGTCAAACCAGGCTCTTGGAGACTGTTTAAGTCCATATAAAGCCTTCTCTAATCTGCAAACCTTTAACCCAAACTTATTTTCAAACCCAGGACGGGGTTCCATGTACACTTCTTCTTCAAGTTTCCCATTTAAAAAGGCATTCTTTACATCCAGTTGTTGTAATGGCCAGTCTAAATTGGCAGCAAGAGATAAAAGAATTCTTACGGTGTTCAACTTTGCAACTGGTGCAAAAGTTTCTTTGTAATCAATCCCATAGGTCTGTGTGTACCCCTTGGCAACTAGTCTTGCCTTATACCTCTCCAAACTTCCATCTGCCTTAAACTTGGGGGTGAAAATCCACCTGCAACCAACTGTAGGCTTATTTTTAGGTAACTCTACAAGCTTCCATGTCTGATTCTTTTCAAGAGCCTCCATCTCCTCCAAAACAGCTTTCTTCCACTCAGGTTTAGATAGAGCATCCTGTATGGTTGGAGGAATAGAAATAGAAGAGATATTGGAGGTAAAGGCTGCAAAGTCTGAGGCCAATTTAGAATAAGAAATATAGTTTGAGATGGGGTATTTAACACATGTTCTTCTCTCTTTTCTGAGAGCAATAGGAAGGTCAAAGTTGCTAGAAGTATTACCTTTTTCACTTTCTGACATTGAGGCAGAATCATGGACAGTTGTAGGTTCTTGGACTTCCTTTATTCTTTGATTTCTAACCCTTCTCTCATAAGTTTTTCCAAAGAACTGGCTTGTCTGTTGATCCTTTTCAATTGGTTCAGTTGGATTTACTTCATTATTTTTTATTCCTTGATCATTTTCAGGTGTACTGATATTTCTAAAGAAATTATCATCCAGATTAATATCAAGAAAATTAAGATTTTCATGAATATGTGGCATTATTGGAACATCTTCACTTAATTTCTCCCCCTGAAGATGAGAATCAAAAAAAGGTTGTTCTTCCACAAAAAAAGTATCCATAGTAACAACCATGGTTTTAAAAGGCGAAACGCACCTACGCCTCAGAGGCGTAAAAGCGCAAAGGCGCTATCAAATCGCCTGTAAGGCTTGAGCATCACCTTCCACTAACAAGGCTAACGCCTTTTTTTGCTGAGGCGGTGATGCGATCCCAGTGCGCAAGGCGTAATTGAGGCGTACGCATTTCACTAAACGCAACTTGGGCTCTTTTTTTTGAACTATTGGGCCTTGATTTATTCTTTTTTAAAAACTACACGTTTATCTCTTAGGTAACACACGACATCCCTAGGTAACTATTTAATTACCTTCCACTACTACTATATTAAGAAACGGCTTGAAAAACTCTCTCAGTCGAAGGCTTGAAGCTGAGTATGTAGACTTCGATCTTTCAGAGTTGCTTTCATTCCAGGTATTATTAAGTAAATATACTAAAATATCCCAACGACCACTTGTATAGAATATCCCACCGTGTACAGCATACTTCTATAGTTTCTTGTTGTATTTATTGTTTAAGTTAATTTGTTTTAAATTTTTAATTATTTAAAAGTTCAGGTTTGAAGTAAATAGTCTGCTACGTATTTAATGCTTTTTCAGCCAGCAAACTATAAAATATTCCACCGCCTCACTATAGTTGTTATGCACTTATGCACTTATGCTATTAAGTATTATGGTTGTCAACTTGTCATTCAATATTAATATTTTTTTAATTTATTACTGTACTATTGGCCTACAGTTTAAACATTAAAGTGATCATAAAACTATCATTTAGCTTATTTATTTGTCCTGGAATTTTAGTGTTTACGTTGGTTTGAGTTTTGACTTTGGCATTTCAATTTTATGTTATTCTGACTTGGATGTTTTATAGTTATGTTATTTTTACTTGATTTTGTTTAGATGGGATATTCTTTTAAACATTTAAGCAATGATAAAAATTAGTTAGTTTACTAATTTACTAGTCAAGATAAAATTAGTAGTTTACTAATTTACTTCAGTCAAGATTTAATTTTAATTAGACATGTTATAGTTAAGTTCATACAGTTTGATTATTTTTTTTTAAAGTTGTTTATCAATTATTTAGTTATTTATTGTGAGTAATTTACTTAAATTCTTGTAAAAAAAATCATTTTATTCATAGGAGTGGGCTGATTACTCACGATGGTTAAACCCGGTAAGAATCAGGGAGAGGGGTCTAGCTCAAATAAGGATAAGGATCCTGTTTGGCAGTATGGAATTAAATTGAATCCTCCGGCAGGAAAGACTGGTTATGTATATGCAAAATGCAAATATTGCAATAAGGTGATCACCAGTGGAGTGGGGAGACTTAAAGAGCACCTTGCGGGAACACATAAAAATGTGGCGCCATGCAAAAGTGTTCCCGAAAATGTTAAAAAGGATGTGCTAGCAATGTTGAAGAACTATCAAGATCAGAAACACGTTAACCAGAAGTTTTTTGATGAAATGGTAGATTATGGCTCGTACTTTGGAACTGGAGTAACTGGACCTCAACCGCGTGGGCCTATTGATCGCTTCGTTACTCGTCCAGGCAGTAGCTCAAGAGATGTAGCAAATGAGCAGGAAGTTGTAGAAGATGATATTCTGCCTAACAAAATGAGTAAAACTACCATGAGAGAGCGACGCAATCTTGTTTGTCAAGATGTGGGCAGATTTTTCTTTGAAAATGCAATAGCATTTAATGTAGCCCGCAGTCCTTCTTATTTTAACATGTTGCGTTCTGTTAGTAATTATGGTGCAGGCTTTAAACCCCCATCTATGCATGAGTTGCGGACGTGGATCCTTAAAGCGGAATATGATACCACGAACACATATGTGGAAGAAGTGAAGAAGACATGGCCGCACACCGGAGTAACGATAATGTCAGATGGGTGGAGCGACACAAGAAACCAAGGGCTTCTTAACATTCTTGTTAACAACCAATATGGTAATGTTTTCCTCAGATCTGTTGATGCATCGGATCGAGTTAAAGATGCAACTTATCTTTTTGAATTGCTCGACGGAGTAGTTGAGGAAATAGGAGAAAGTCTGGTAGTGCAAATCGTGACAGATAATGCAAGTGCATACAAAGCTGCTGGGAGACTTTTAATGGAGAAGAGGAAGCACTTGTATTGGACGCCATGTGCCGCCCATTGTATTGACCTCATGCTTGAGAAGATTGGAGAGCTGCCACAGAACAAAAATGTCTTGATCAAAGCTAAGAAGGTCACTAATTTTATCTATAATCGTGGATGGGTTTTGCAGCTTATGAGGAAGTTTATCGGGAAAGACCTAGTTCGTCCAGGCCCCACGAGGTTTGCTACTGCTTTCTTGACTTTAGATTGTATGGCCACCGCAAAAGAGCCCCTGCAAAGAATGTTTGTTTCTAAACAGTGGACTTCAAGTCGTTATGCAAAATTAGTTGAGGGGAAGGAGGTTAAAAAGATTGTGATGGATGACAGAACGTTTTGGCCTGGGGTTGCTTACTCAATAAAAACATCAAGGCCATTAGTTGAAGTTTTGAGGATTGTTGATGGTGATGAGCCTGCAATGGGATTCATCTACGGTGCTATGGATTCTGCAAAAGAAAAAATTGCAGAAAATTTTGGAAATCAATATTCCACTTATAGTGAGATTTGGAAGATAATTGATGAGAAGTGGGAGCACCAACTGCATCGGGACTTGCATGCTGCAGCGTATTATTTGAATCCCAGATTCAAATGGGAGGATGACTTCTCTACTCATGTGGAGGTTAAGAAAGGTTTGTATGCTTGTATGGAGAGGCTTATTTCTGATAGTAGTGATTTTAACCAAGCTGATGCACAAATGGATGAATATCGATACAAGCGTGGACTTTTCGGAATGAGGGCGGCTCAAAATTCATATAAAACACGTCCCCCAGGTAAACATTAAACTACATCTTTAATATCTTTAATGTTTATACATAGTGTACTTGTGTATTGTTGCAAAACAGAATTTTTTTTAATTCTTTAACATTTTTTAGTGGAATGGTGGGATCAATTTGGAGATCATATTCCAGAACTACGGGCTATTGCGGTCAAAATTCTTGGTTTGACGTGTTCTTCTTCCGCTTGTGAACGAAATTGTAGCACATTCAATCAAGTCCATACGAAGAGAAGGAATCGTCTTTCAGCCATTAAGTTGAATAGTTTGGTATTTATAATGTTCAACAAGAAGTTGAAGTTTAGGAAGAGCAGATTACAAAAGAAAGAGGATAATTTGATCTTCGATAATGTATCATCTGATGATGAGTGGATTGCTGAACCGAATGCAGATGATGGAGAAAGTGTGGATGCACGTGATGAACTTGCATTAGTTGTTGATGAAATGGACAACGAATTCAGAGGTTCATAACTTAATATTTTATTTTTTTGTCCCTTCAATATACTTATTTACATTTAACTTCCATTCCGTTTCATTCTATTTTTGTGACTTTATGTGTGTAGGGGTGGACCTTACTGTTGGAACTGAAGAAGATAATGAGGCCCGTGAAAATGAAGGAGATGACAATGAGAATGACATTACTAATTTGGATACTCATGAAGAGGACGATAGGCTTAGTTTTGAAGATTAATAGTTCCAATTTGTCAATTTGCAAACTTAAACTCCTAAACTTTTATTTTCTTGTCTTAGAATTTTAATGTTTTATGTTCTTTTGAGTTTTGACTTTGGTATTTCAGTTTTATATTATTTGGACTTGAATATTTTGTAGTTATGATATTTTTACTTGTGATTTTGTTTAGATATGTTATTGTTATTGAAGTTTTCTGAATATTATTTCCTTGAATACATTTACAAGAAGTACATAAGCTATTTATACAGATAGGAATCCTGAGAGAGTCTATTCAGCACCCTAGGTGACTGTCTAAATACTAAACATAAATGATTGAGAACTGAAAAGACAGCAGCTATTAAATACAACCTGAAGCACTAAAGATACATAATTACAGTAATAATAAGGAAAATAAATCCTAGATTAATGATGTCTCTTCGTTTTATCAACACTCCCCCTCAAGCTAGGTTTGTAGATATCCGTCATGCCTAGCTTGACAATAAGACCCTGGAACCTAGGACTGTGCAGAGGTTTGGTAAACACATCTGCAACTTGATCTTCTGAGGGAGTGTAGCTTAGTTCGATCAGACCTCCTTCAACCTTTTCTTTGATAAAGTGCCTATCAATCTCAATATGCTTGGTCCGATCATGTTGGACTGGATTATGAGCTATGTTGATTGCTGATTTGTTATCACACCTCAATTCCATTGGTCCTTTCCACTTGATTCGTAAATCTAAGAGAATAATTCTGATCCATAGAAGTTCACATAAGCCATGGGCAAGAGCTCTTAGCTCAGATTCAGCAGATGATCGTGCCACAACATTCTGTTTTTTGCTTCTCCATGTCACGAGGTTTCCTGCTAGGAAAACACAGAGACCAGTAGTTGACCGGCGGTCAACGAGGGAGCCACCATAATCTGCATCAGTGAAGGCTTGGACTGATAATTGCCCACCCTTCTTGAATATTATCCCTTGCCCTGGACTTCCTTTTAGGTAGTGAAGAACCCTATAGGCTGCTTCTAGATGTGGTTTCCTTGGATCATGCATGAACTGACTCAAAACACTAACTGCATAGGCAATGTCAGGTCTAGTATGAGAGAGATAGATAAGTTTGCCACACAAGCGCTGATACATTGATGAATCAACCTTGGGTTCATCAGTAGCAAGTCCAAGCTTGTGATTAGGATCCATAGGTGCATTAACCGGTCGACAAGCACTCTTACCGGTCTCATTTAACAAATCTGTAATGTACTTTTGTTGGCTGATAAAGATGCCTTCAGATGAGCGAGCAACTTCAATTCCAAGAAAGTATTTTAGAGGGCCAAGAGACTTCATCTCGAATTTGGATTTCAGCTGCCCCTCAAGACGTTGTTTCTCAACTGGATCATTACCCGTCACAATGATGTCATCCACATATACCAAAAGAATAGTGACTCCATTTGGGCGAGAGTGTTTGTAAAAAAGAGTATGATCCCCTTGGCTTTGACTTTACCCAGCAGCAAGAACAACCTGTGTGAAGCGGTCAAACCAAGCACGAGGGGATTGCTTGAGACCATAGAGGGCTTTTTTTAAATGACATACATGTGTAGAGGTTCTTGTTGATGTTTTATTAAAGCCTGGGGGAATGTACATGTAGATCTCATCATGCAAGTCACCGTGGAGAAAAGCATTCTTGACATCAAATTGCAATAAAGGCCAATCAAAGTGAGATGCCAAGGATAGTAGGATACGGACAGTATTGAGCTTAGCTACAGGAGCAAAGGTCTCTTGATAGTCAATCCCATACGTCTGAGTGTATCCTTTAGCCACAAGACGAGCTTTGTACCGCTCAAGAGATCCATCAGCCTTGTATTTGACAGTAAAGATCCACCTGCAACCAACAATATGCCTCCCAGGAGGTTTAGTCACAATATCCCAAGTATGGTTCTTTTCAAGAGCTCTAATTTCCTCTTGCATAGCATCCCTCCATTCTTTCTTTCCTAATGCCTCAGAAACAGAGTTGGGTATGGGAATTTCATTAAGTCTCTGAACAAACAAGGCATGTGAAGGAGAGAAGTTATCAATGGTAACAAAATTAGCAAGAGGGTATAGAGGTGTTTTGGTACATTGACGTACACCCTTGCGTAAAGCAATTGGCGGAGATGGTGGTGGAGAAGAAGAGACATTACCTGGGTCAGCCAATTGGTCATGCGTCAACAATGGAGTGAACCTGTTTTTCCTTGAGTACACTTTTGTCACTGGTAGAGGAGAAGATGGGTCATGAGTGGTGGATTTAGTAGGTGTAGGAATGGGATGATCTGGTGGTGTATTTGATTGAGGTTCAGGTGATGTTGAAGACTGTTGGGAAGTAGGTGAGGTTGCTGACACATCTAAGGAAGGTGATGGATGATCATGTGGTGGTGGTGGTGATGAGATGTCTGGTGATAAAGGCTTAGGAGGGTAGGAGATTGTATGTGGTGGAGAAGATGTAATAGTATAGGTGGGCAGAGGTGAAGGATGTGGAGTATCTTGGGATACAGGGAGAGAAGTAGGAGTGTAAAAAGGTGTGTCTTCGTGAAAGGTCACATCTGCACTGGTGTATGTCTTTCTGGTTGTAGGATTATAGCACTTATATCCTTTCTGAGTTGGAGAATAACCAAGAAAGATACACTTAATAGATCGTGGGTCCAATTTTCCCCTATGAGGTGGAGGAATATGAACAAATGCAGTACACCCAAACACCCTTAGATCAAGATCAGAAGAAATTCTGGTTTGAGGAAAGAAATGACGGAGAGATTCAAGGGGTGACTTATTTTGGAGTACCCGACTGGGAATTTTATTGATGAGATGACATGCTGTGAGTGTGGCTTCCCCCCAATAGTGTTTAGGCATATTTGATTGAAACAATAAAGCCCGACTGACGTCTAGGAGATGGCGATTTTTTCTTTCTGCTGTGCCATTCTGTTGTGGTGTGTACGGACAAGAGGACTCATGAACAATGCCTTTTGAGAGGAAATAAGAGGAAACGGTTTGATTGAAGTATTCAAGAGCATTATCAGTGCGGAAGCGTTTTATTGTGGCGGAGAACTGATTATGAATCATATTGCAAAAGATAGGAATGATGGAACTCACCTCACTCTTGTTTTTTAGCAGAAAAACCCACATAAAACGTGTACAATCATCAATAAATGTAACATACCACCGGGCACCAGATATATTAGCAATTGGAGCAGGACCCCAGACATCACTATGTATAATATCAAAAGGAGAACAACTGATTGTATTACTTCTGGAAAAAGATACACGAGACTGTTTAGCAAGTTCACAGACATCACATTGAAATGTAGAAACATCAATACTACTAAAAAGACTGGGAAACATGGTTTTTAGGACATGAAAAGAGGGATGACCAAGACGCTTGTGGTGAAGCCAAATAGTGTTGGTATTGGCTGTGATTGCGGTAAGAGCTTTTTGTGGAGGTTTGGAGACAAACAGTGCATCAAGGTAGTACAGGCCATCTCTTTGTTTAGCAATTCCAATCGTCCTCCCCGTGTGTAGATCCTGTAATAAACAGTGGGAAGGGAAAAAAATGGCAGCACAATTAAGATCAACTGTGAGTTTGTAAATAGAAGCAAGGTTCATAGCCAGGTTTGGGACATGTAGGGTGTTTTTCAGATTTAATTTTTCAGAAAAAACAACCGTACCAAGTCCCGCAACCTTTGTAGGTGTCCCATCAGCAGTAGTAATGTGCGTGGATGTAAAACATGGATGATAATTAGAGAGTAAAGAGGGTATGGCAGTCATATGAGATGTGGCACCTGAGTCTAATATCCATTGGGATTGTGAACTCTGTTCCGAAGCATTAAGACAAAAAATAGTAGAGGTTTTACCTTGCAGGGCCAAAGAGCTATGACCAGAACCATTTGAGTTATTAAGAGACTGTAACATCATACGAATTTGCTTTAATTCCTCCTGGGAAATGGGCCAAAGATTAGTAGAGCTCTCAACAATAGTGGGAGTGACTGAGTTGGCACGTCCAGCACTCATTCCACGTCTGTCTTGGCTTTTCCTTTCTTTCTGTAGATGAGGATAAAGTTTCCAGCATGTATCCACATTATGGTTGGACCGCTTGCAATGATCACACCATCTTCCTCCCTTACTACCCTTAGTTTCCTTAACAACTGAAGGAGTAGATTTGGCAGCAAGAGCTGTACTGTCAATCAGATTTGTATTCATCATTATATTGCGTCTGCTCTCTTCATGTTTGATAGTGGCAATGGCAGAAGATATGGAAGGCAGAGGAGTAATGCCAAGAATTTGACCCCGAGTCTGATCATATTCGGGATTTAAACCAGACAAGAAGCAATATAGACGTTGCTGATTTATATAGTTCTTGTGAAGAGCTGCATCTGCAGCATTCGACCACTTCATCGTTTGATACTGGTCAAGTTCAGACCATCGTCGTTGGAGGTCAGTTGCATAATCTGTGACAGATTGTGAATCTTGCTTAAGATTCGTTGTTTTGAGCCATAAGTCATAGACAAAAGCGCCATCTTTAGCAACAGAGTAGGACTGCTGTATGAAATCCCAGATTTCTTTAGCCGAGTCCATGTATAAACATGTACTGCTAATGTTGGGATCCATAGAGTCCCATAACCAGACCCGTACGTTGGCATTAGTTTTCTCCCAAATAGCAGCATCAATCTCTCCTTCTTCTGGGGTAGAGACAGTGAGATAATCTTCAAGATCTTTGCCACGTAGAAGAGTGTAAACCAGCTTTGACCACCCAAGATAGTTCCTGCCATTGAGACGGTAAGATGGCGGGATAGAAGGGAGATCAAATTTCTGGTTTCGAAGAGCAAACGCGGCTGCAGTAGCAGCTGAAACAATGGTTGAGTGATCAAGGTTACTTGAGGCTGATTCGGCTTCTTTAGACATGATAAAACCCTTGATGAAGAGACTCCACCGGGAGTTAAAGAGAGAGAAGGGTAGAGACACCCAAAAAATGACCGTTGGAGAGGTGATAGACTGACTCAAAAAAGGCTTAGACGAAACCAAGCTTTGATACCATGAAGTTTTCTGAATATTATTTCCTTGAATACATTTACAAGAAGTACATAAGCTATTTATACAGATAGGAATCCTGAGAGAGTCTATTCAGCACCCTAGGTGACTGTCTAAATACTAAACATAAATGATTGAGAACTGAAAAGACAGCAGCTATTA